GTCTGTATGCTACAGGAGACAACCAGATGGAGGAGAAAGTTTAATATGAGATCAAAGATTGTGGGGTATTACACATACTAACCTGGTGAAACAGGAGGAATAGCTGAAGACAAGAGACCCAAGAGAGAACACAAACATCCACCTTCAGAAGGGCATATACAAAACTGTGTGAGATAGCAGATTCAATCCATAATGGGGTAAGGAGAGAGGAACTAGGTAAATGAAATGCCCCAGGTATGTAAATACAGTGAGAGGAAAGAGGGAGGGTGTAACAAAACACTGTGTGGCCCAGATATTACAAGAGCACCTGTCTGGAACATAAAAAACACAGAAAAGAGAAACTGAAGGAGGGGATATGGGAGAAAAGGAGTGACCACGTATCCATTCCATGGAATAGAAGGGAAGGAAAAATAAGCAGCTAGAACATGGGAAAAGGGAAGAGCAGAAATGAGAAAGTGGGAGAAATGTTTACAAAGGCAAGTTGGAATAGGAATTGTGTCCAGGGAGAGCAGAAACATTTGGTAGAGGTTTGATAGGAATCTGGATAAGAGGATGGAGAACCACAATGATAATCCAATCAGGAAAGAAGTGGGAAGGAGGGCAGTAGATAAAAAAGAAATGAAAGAGGCAGAGAAGAAAGGAAACTGGGAAAGGCAGAAGGTGGATGAAAATCTGTTCGAAAACATGAGAGAGAAAAAGCTTTCAGATCACGAGAGAATTATCCTGTGAAAGAGGAGAAATATGTGACAATGTAACAAAGTCAAAGGGAAATGGGGACAAAGAGACCAAGATGTAAAGTACATCCCATATAATGGCACACAGAGGTAGAGGGGTGACAGGAGTGGGACAAAAAGATAACTACATGATCAGAGAGATGGACTGGACAATGCCACACGCAATGAAAAAGTGATGCCATATCCTTAGGAAAGAGCAGTGTGTGAGAGTGGATCAGAGGGGATGAAAGTTGGAAGGTGGAAGCCAGGGCCGAGACTCGAGGAGTTGGAGTAATATAAACAAGGTTGAGAAGACTGTGAGGGGCCACCAAACAGACCTTGTAAAGGGTGGGACAGACCAAACTGACAGCATAGACAGCCAGGGCTGAGGAATAAGGTGCAGGAGACAGAATAGAGGACAGTCGCAAAGAGAGGTGGCAAGGCAACAAAGGATGGAGGAACAATGGTAAAGTAGAACAACAGAGAACGAGTGGGTGAGGAACCAATTGGTGGGTAGGAAGCAGTCTTGTCGAGAAGATAACCTGCTCCCAGAATATGACAAGTTATGAACGTATTTGAAAAACATAGCCTCAGAATCAAGGGTGAATACTATCTTTTAGATGTATATATAAAGAAATAAGGAAAGAAAATTAAACATTATGCTAAGAGTACATGTTATGGAATACGTAGCCCCCATCTAAATATTGACTAGGGGTGACATTGCATGGAACAAACTGCTAATGATATATAAATCCATAATGAACCAAATCTAATCTAATATGGATATGTTAAAGAGCAATGAACGAGGGCAAAACATGATCCACTACATGTAAATACTTAGAATAAACTATAACAAAATAGTGTTGTCTATGTGTGACTTGTCAAGAAGTAATGTATGAGAACTAAATACTATCATCCACAAGAACAAATTATGCAGTAAAAAACTAACAAAACATTAATCATGAAGTGAACATTTGAAGGAGTAATATACAAAGTCTATACATCATCGTCAAAGCATTTCAAGTTAAGGAAGAATAAACTATGAAATATTAATTGTTATGTGTACATGTTAAGGGGTTATGAATGTCTAAGTATGCACAATAAAGAGAAACTAGACTGAAGCATCTTCCACCATATGTACGTATTATAGAATACTTAACTATTACTTAACGGTATCTACAAAGTGTACAAGGAAGAAACATTACCTTCTAAAAAGACGTAAGTAGTAAGGAACCTTGACTAAACAACATGTTCTGAGTGTTATATGAAGAAGTAACGAACTAGAAATACATGACAACACCTAATTATACATGTTACAAATAAGCAAGTATTTCTAAAAATCAACTGTTGTGTATATGGAAAGGCTCAATAAACTATGAACAAACACAATATTCTAAGTGGGAGATGGTAAGGAGGAATTAACTATCTCTAAACATTATCTCCTGTGGGTACAAATAAAGGATAAATGAAATATGGCAAAACATTAACCTCATTGAGTTACATATTAAGGAGTAATGAATAATATTAAAACAATGTCTTCTATGTGGACTTGTTAAGGAGTATGGGCCTGAAAGCTTTAAAGGGATGCAAATAGTTTCTCTCATTTTTTCAATATAATGCATATTCTGAAACACTGATACTAGTTTTATATATTCTTCAAAATAGTGACACATATAACAGCAATTTTAGTTCAAACTCTAATAATTCTGTAGCAGATGCACAAAATATCCATATGTACCAAAACATAGGGTTACACTTACAGAAAAATTATTTATAAAAGATGAAACTACCAAAAAAATATAACCTTAGCAGTTCCATGCCAAACACAATTCATGGCTACCCTAGACCCATCTTTAGTGTGTAGAATTTCCACTAGAGACTCCCTAATTGCTTCAATAATTTCAGAGCGAGAGGTTGGATCTGCATGCATGATGAACTCTCGTAAAACATAGTGGATAATACTGTGCCGAATAACTGCCCTACAATAATGAGATAAAAGTAGACCAATTTTTCTTAATGCTTAAACATTATTTCAAACAATTATCTCTTATCCAAGTACTAATGCCCAATAAACAAAGTCACAATGTTTTGACTGGTTACAATTTTTATTAAATATATTCCACAAAATGTGTTGGAAAAAAATGTGCTATTGAAAAAAAAAAAAGGAATAAAAATGTCCTTACCCTTCTATTAATTTTACTGAGAAACCAAAACCCTTTTGTAGAACTTTCAGTATAATTTTACAATAATTATCACTATTATGTTTACAGACAAACACATTAAATAATGTGTTAACAAACTCTTGCATCATATTTAATAAAAAACAACTTTGTCCATCTCTCTCTCTCTGTTCTAATACTTAATATAGAATACTTTACCTTTCTGTGATTTTCATCAAAAGTTCTTTCAGATGGTTTATGATGCCCGATTTCCGTGTTGGATCTTTCTTCAGAAGTTGGGCTAATGTCTTGCAATCACTATCCTAAAACCAAGGTAATCAGTAAAATATACAACATACAAAAAATATGCACTACAAAGCTACAACCATATTTCATGAAAGTGTACTGCATGACTCTTCTCCTGAGTTAATGCCTTGCAGTCTCTATTGTAAAACCACGGTAAACAGTAAATACATGATACACATAAAAATAGGCACTACAAAACTACAGACATATTTTATAAAACTGCCTTAAATTCTAAACAATAAAACTGTAATGTATGCCTCTCTGTTTTTAACAACATTACTGTGATTCTGAATAAAAGTAGGCATTGTAAAAACAGGTAGTTGTAAAGTATGGGTAATCTTTAGACCAAAGAAAATACAAGAACAAACATTAACTAACAATTCAATAAATTAGATGAGTGAAAACCTCAGCAAAAAGACATCTCATGATACAAATATCCATTTATTTTGTTCAATTAGAAGTACAAAACATTTAATACTTCTTAAAATCAATAATATTTAAGTTTTTTTTTCCCATTTCATTTCTTGTGTAACTACTTTTAACTTTCAAATATCAATGATAGACATAACATTACTAACTTTAAAATATGCAAATGTTGGACCATAAAACTCTTGAACCAATTCAGCCCTCTGAGTTGCATTTGCATATTCATTGTAGGCATATTCAAGAACAGCAGCTCCCTCCTAAAGCATTTTAAAAAAAAGTGTATTTCAGTTAATAAATAATTCTAAATAAATTATAGTAATTGTTCATGGGTGTATTCACTCTCAGTATCTAATGTAGAATCAAAGGTTAATTAACAATGAAAGCAATGTCAAAATGTGCTATATCCTATCAAAATAATTTCATCCTGGTTGGTAAAATAAAATTATACCACACCAAATAAGAAATTAAACATGTTAAAAAATGGTCAAAATAATGTGCTGATCTACACCGACCTAAATTAAATGATATATTATGGTTGAAATAATGTGCTAGTCTACACTGACCTTAATTAAATGATATATATATCAAGACTTTGTTTAATCTACAATCATAGTGGAGTCTGACATCATTTTCTAACATTTGTTTAGTATTAATTACACTTTTTACCATGATATTTTGTACAAGTAGTTAACATTTTTTTTTAAGGCCTAGTTTGTATCTCAGAATTTTAGTTAAAATCTAATTCAATATTAAATATCATAAATTTTACTTTTTATTTCCAAGTTAATATGTATTTCAAAGACAATGTGATATACCAAGGTTTGAGAAAAATGGTCTTTGTAACAAAGAAGAGTTTGCAGATCCAGCATTTGACTGAAAACATGTAGTGATTTTTTACACAATGAAAGAAACAATGACAGTAAGAAGCTTAACAAAAAGTAAGGAAAAAATCACTCGAACAATGGCTGATCAGTCTAGTTGAAGAACAGTTGTTTTGGTGAATTGAAAGTAAAGGATAAACTGCACAAAGATCAATAGTAAACACAGAATTAAGCAAATTGTGTATTTATAGAAATATAATTGTATTTATAGCAACTAGAAGATTTTTTAAAGCTTGTAACATAAACTAAAAACATACATGATCAGTGGATTCCAAACGATATAAAAAAGACAAGACTTCTACAACAAAAAATACCTCATAAGTTTAACTTAGCACATAAATTTGATGGAATTTAGAGCTTTTTAAATTATAACTAGAAAATTTAAAAATGTTTCCAAAAACATATCCTATGGGAGAGTGAGTTGCGTGGTATCTACATACCACAGCATTAAAAGAAAACTAAGCAGAGTTTAAGATAATAGTACAAACCAAAAATGAGAGTTAATGTTATGTGGTTTACATGTTTCAATAAAAAACTAAATATTTTCTGGAAATTAAGATCTTTGCATATTTTTGACTAGATCTTCTCATGATAGATAAACTATTTAAAGATTGAAATGACTAGATATTCTCATGACAGATAAGTTAACTTAAGACGGACACATCTTTGAATAGATTTTCTGATGACATAAACTAACTTAAGATTGACACATCTTTGACAAGATCTTCTCATGATATATAAACTAACTTAAGGGACACATCTTTGACTACATCTTCTCGTGATATATAAATTAACTTAAGATTGACACATCTTTAACTAGATCTTCTCATGAAAGCAGGGCTTCACAATTAATGAGTACCATCGCATTAATGCTTGTAACCACCCATAAAATAAGTTTTGTGAGGGCTTATTAGAGACCCCATCAAGTCTGTCATGACACTCATTGTTTATGCAATCAATTGCTGTTTGTTTACAGATAATTTTGTGTGCCCGTGTTGGCTGCTACAACTCTAGTACTTTAATTTTAAAGAGCCTAGACTAGTGATTAATATACTCAAATGATCCATGTTTTTTAGTACACAATTAAAAATCTTTATTCTATGACCAATCAATGGACTTAAAACAGACACTAAATGTTTCGATGTCAAATCACATCATCTTCAGGGGTACCTTGAAATTTAACCTTTTAATAAACTAGCAATGTTACATGTACAATAATATAATATCTTAGAACTATATTTTTGTATTATATAGACATCCAATATTTATAACTGAAAAATTAAGTCAATCTATTAAAGTTTAAGTTATAAGATTGGTTGTTAATTAGTAAATTAACAACAGCAAGAAGAGCTTTAACAAATTTGATTGTGACCTAATTTGCATTTGATGAACTACTATGATTTTCTGCATGACACAAGATTACAAATAATCTCATATTATTGGAGATCATCGTGGTTCAGTTATGGTTTCACTTTCAATTGTAAATATGTCTCAGTTCAGCCAGCAAAACTGTTTTGTTGTCAAAATTTGGCAAATGAAATCTTGGTGGACAAATTGGATTTTCTTCTTCAAAGGATACTTTAGGAAAAGTCATTGTAACAAAAACTTCGTACAAGTTTTATACAAAAACACCAAGAAGATCCAAAAAGAAGTAAAAGGGCGCAGTTAGCAAGAGTTGGACAAGTATATATACAGAACACTGAATTCATAATGAAGTACACTGTTATTTGCCACTTGAATTCAAATACACACCAAATTCCTTTAGCTATGCATATGTCTTATCTTGTTTTTATGCTTATTACTCAAATTTTTAACAATATCCCATCTTTGTTCATCATTACATGTACAGCCTGTATGATAAACTACTTATATTTTACAATCTTAATACTATAATATCATCATTGATTCAAAGGTAAATCGAAAATTTAATTGTATACGTCTATGTCTGTATGCAAATTACAAGTATCTACACAAAGCAGAGGAAAAACAGTTGTTAGTGATGACACATTTAGCGATTTAATTAAGCTTATTTTACATGAAAATTGTCATCAACTTTGTATATATTTTTAAGTTATTGGCCAAGGCCTAACTTGATGATATGCACTTTAACATATTTTCAAGTTACTTGTAAACTTTAGATTTGGTTATATGTTAAATTTGTGTCAAGTGAGCATATAAGTTATTGGCCAAGGCCTAACTTGATGATATGCACTTTAACAGATTTTCATATTACTTGTAAACTTTAGATTTGGTTATATGTTAAATTTATGTCAAGTGAGCATCTACTAATGTAATTAGAAAACTTATTTAGTGGCCTTTATTACTTAGGTACCAATTTAAATATAAGTAAATGTTTTTATGTACAATATTATTTGTTAATAGATTGTTATTTTTTAAAAATTGGTAGGCCTATACGTATATATGTGTTGTTTTTGGAACATTTCTGTGTTATCAGTTACTAGGATTATCTTTTACACAGATTCTACTATTCATTTATTTTATTAATTCAAGCTCTGCTGTTTTTATTATTTATGCTTTTAAGGCTTTAAAAAGTTGCTTGAAAATGATGAGAAGACTCTTCCTGACAAGAATAGTATTGCTAGTGGTTTTTCCTGCTTCCAACATCCCTCTTCAACCTCGGATAAATGTAGCTCTGCATGCACAAGCTAAGGAGGCATAGAGAAAGTTTTTTAAAACAGCTTAATTGCTTGCTGTGGATGGAAAGCTTCTGTCAGCATTCAAAAATTTAGTTAAAATGCAAAAACAAAATGAGGTACAAATGATTTCAAATTTTGATAATGCCAATAAAGCAAAAGAACTTATTAATGTTATTGCCGAAGCCATCTGTGAGTAAGTAGCAGTAATTTTACATTCTGCAATAGCTTTTGCAGTGGTTAGTGATGGAAGTCAGGCAAGAAAAACTTGATCTGAAAAAACAACAACTGATTTATATCAGAACAGTCAAGCAAGGTATACCAGCATATTTCTGTCCTTACAGGACATTGATAGTTTTGCTGAAGCAAGTAATCTAAAGAGGATCATTGATGATGTATTTGAAGGTGATGGAAAGGCTTCAATTCCAGCAGAGAAATACACTTGCCCACCAGTTCCAGCTACGGCTGATGGACCCTCTGTTAATTCCACAGTTTACAATGGATTGCTAACAAAACTGAAAAATGACGATCACCTTTGGCTTCTAGGCATTCAGTGCATTTTTCATAAAGTTGAGTTGCCATTAAAAGATAGTGTATTGAAATCATTTGTTGATGTGAAAACTTCATGACAACTATATATTACTTATTCAAATGATCTAGAAAGTTCAAAAACACACTTTCAGGCAACTGCCATCGCATTTGATGTGCAGCATTTTAATTATCCCAAAGTACTTGGTACACGTTTTTTTTACACACATAAGATGTGGACTAAATCATTTACTAAGTAATTGGGTGATTCTTGTTCAAGCAGTACAGAATTATCTTGCTAGTTGCAAGGAGACAGTAGTATCAGCTAAATTTCATGGACTCTTAAAAAAATGAAAGACTTTACTTTTCTGTCAAAATGTTACTTGTACAAATATGTGTTGGATGCAGGTTCTATTCTGTCTATGCAGTTTGAAAAATAAAACATTTTATGCTATCAGATAATGCCTGTGGTAGAAAAAAGCAAAAAATGCCTTACAGAAACTCAGGGAAGAAACTTCAGGTACACACTGTGAAAATCTTTTGAAAAAGTTCAAACTAGAACTGGAAATGAAATCAGGTTCCTAGCATCTTAAAAGCACTTACTTTAAAGCAGGAACCAGAAAAATAAAAATAAACGAAAAAAGTGTCAACTACAATCTAGTGAACAAAGTAGACTGTGCTGAGAAAACTGTAGACAAACTGAGAATTAGTCATTCCAAGTGTACAGGCTTATCTTTAGTCAAAGTTACCCTCCAATGAAAGTGAAGTTTATCAAAGTTTTGGATAAATTCAGTAAACTGGGGTAACACCACCAGGGAAATTTTAATTAAATGTTTAAATTTTAATGTTTAAATTTAGTTGCAGAACATGTTTATGAGACACTAACAATGAACAATTTTGATAAAAGTAAGATAGCTCAGAATGGAAAGAATTCAAGAAAATGCTTATCTATTACATGAATGGAGTCAAAGCTAAAGATCTCTGGAAGTGTGTGATTCTATAAAGAAGGAAAAAAATTAAGAATGTTTGCATGTTGGTGGAACTAGTGTTCTGCATAGAACTCAGTAATAGTGTCATTGAGGAAGGGTTTCAACACCTTAACCAATGTTCATTGACCAAAGGCTTAATTTAAAACATACAACAGTGGAGAACCTTCTATTGGTTAAAAAAATGATTTTGTATAGGCACATGAGGAAAATGAACAAATATTAGAAGCAGCCTTGGAGAAGTTTATGACAAAAAAATAAAAAATGGGAAAAGGAAATCTGATGCAAATCCTTTTAACGAATCTGCAGCCAAGAAATGGAAATCAGACATGTACAATGAAACTGATTCTGTTGGTGATGATTTAAGTGATTATGAAAATCATGATGAGGATGATTCTGATTCTAACATGTTTCGTATATCATGTGATGAGGCTTTTCAAAACTGATTGCACAGGAATCATTTGATGTTGACACAACTGATTCTCCTTTACCCAGTGTGTAAGAGGATAATAACTGAATATGATTCATCAGCCAACAGTTTAACAAAAACACAACAAAGGATCTTGGTAAAAACAAATGACTATGCAAAGTAGAATTACTTCAAATTAATCAGATTTTTTTACGAGATGTGTGTTTATGCAATTTTGGATTTGTCATTTTTTGAGCAAATAGTGAAATTGCTGTTTTATTCCCTTGAAAAAAAATTTAAATACAAATTTACTCTTGTCTGTAAGTTACAATAGAATAATTATCATATGATTGTAATCAAGGTGTTATGTGCAAGACTTCAAGGAGATTATAATTTTAATAGATATAAAGATTTTATTGATTGTTACTTTGTTTAATCATCAAATTAATGTAATGTAATATTTGCTTCTTACCCTTACTTTGCCTTTAAAATACAACCAGGGGTTTTCTTAATACAAAAAACACTACAATTCAGTCAATGCAAATTAACTTCTACTGTCAAAGATAATTCATTAAATGATTAAACTACAATTATGCAAGAGTAAATTTCATAATTCTTGATGTACGTAACACACAATCTTTAATAAAAGATATTAAACGTAGTTTCTGTGAAATTAATATTTTTAAACTTGTATTTTTGAGTCTAAAAAAAAAATAAAAATGTGGGAAAATGCTATACCCTAACATACATGTATATATTTATTGCAAATAAATATAAAATAGATGTACAGTTTACTTTTAATTTTTTATGAAAACCAAGACAAACTACATATACAAAACCTCTCCAAATCTAAAATCCAAACCAGCTGTAACAAGAACTTACAGTGTGTTTGATCAGTTTGTCAACATTACCATAAAAGGATTTCACTATAAAGTTCTTCTGCTCTTTTGTCCTTGAGAAATATAAAAAAAAGTATCACACAAAATTATTAAACATAGTACCTATTTGTTTTTTACAAAATTATCTAACTTAACATATAATGAGCCCACTTGAATTTATGAACAAAACATTTTTTTAAATGTTTACATAATAAGCATGTTTAGCACTGTTGTGTTTGAAAATAGTTTCTATCATGTAAACTTACCTACAAATATATAATGGCAAATAAAAATATATATATATATATAAATTGTCTGCTGTAAAAATGTTTTATGAAAATATAATAATTTACATTTTGAACACAGCAAACATTTACATACCCATATTTCAAGAGTTTCAGAACAAAGAATTTGGCATACTTGGATTTTGACATTTCAAGGATGTGATCTGGAAGGTAAAAACAAAAACAAAAAAAACTTTACACATATGTGAAAAAAATGATCAAATTAATTATGTCCGCCTGTCTTATTCTCCCACCCATTCATCTATCTACATTTATTAATTTTATATTTGGTTCACAGTGAAATTTAACTCAGTGCTACAGTTTTCAAAAAATAAATAACAGAAAAATAATTCATTCTAATTAGCCCTACAGCTCATCATAATGGAATTAGTGTGGGTCATCAAAATAAATAATCAGGTTATATTTTAATGAAGGTATGATTGAGAAAAACAAAATATTCCCAGATTTAGAGAATGGGACAACCGAGATAGATCAGTAGGTCCCTTGTTGTACCTAAACATAAAGTTATGTTAATTCATGTATAATTATTTTAAGAAAAATTATATTAAGTCTTCAAGTGATCAATGCTCAAGCATATCCAATACAAACCATTACACTGCTTTGAATCAAACTTAAGTTGCTCAAGGTACGTAATCATAAGCTATTAAGCACGATCTACTAATAAGTGCTGTATAATAGAAATCAAAATCTAGGAAGTTAAAAGAGTTATAGTTTTTATACAACACTTAAGGAGGTTTGAGCTTTTTAATTCAGCTCAACATGATGGTACACAAATACCACAACAATTTGTCTAAAAATAGTGTTCAAGTAGAATATTTTTAGATGAAAAAATTTGTGTTTTTCAATTAGGCATATAGGGCATTGAACTCAGCTCACAATGAAGTTAAGCTCACTCCTACCTTAAAATTTCCTGAAATTCAACTTACCTACTTAAGAGAAAGGTCCAAAACTCTTGAAAACTAAGTATTTGAAAAGCATTTTATTTTTGAGAAAAATTAAACCACCAAGTTTTGAAAAATGCACTGTCATCAATATTTGTACATGTATGCTTGTCTTCTAATGTTCTACATCTCAAAGAAATTCTAATTATGAAAACAGAAGTTAACCCTTTCCACATGGGTCACAGGTCAAAGGCTATGTCATCATATTTGTTGACTCGCATTCAAAATTTTACTGAACTACTATTTAATGAATTTAAGTTTGGTATCAAACTGTAGATTATAATTCAAATTTTAGTATTATACCTTATTTAATTTCTTAATTTAAAAAAATATATTAAAAACACACACCTAAACATAAATTTTTGTGTGTCATGTAGTGTGTTGAATGCAGCACTGGTTCAAATTAGATGTTTATGATGTCAAAATACAAAGTCCATAGTTTTATATGAATTAGAAACTCAAATTACCGATAATGACAAGCATGAATATAAAATAGGAACCTCCTATCTTTTCTATATGCTAAATATTGCTCATGTACTGAATCAAACACAGTAGACCTGCTAACCTCTTTCCATTTTTGAACACTCTCCCTTATATACATTTACTTCTGTCTATGACATGTGAATAACCAATCAAAAGCTCAGAATGTCCCCCTAGTGGCTTTCTGAGCCATTTTCAAGTATTACAACATCATCTTGTTCTTTCAATACAAAACTTAAAGGTGGTAAAAGTTGAGTCTTTAGTCTGATTGAAATTTCATATTTTTTTAGACCCAAATACAGCTTACTTGATAAATTATGTTAGAATTTTATGGTATTGATATAGAAGTTTATGATTTTTGGTTATTTCAAATGTATATATAAAACCTAAAAAAACAATCATGTCTTCATGTTATAATCTGGAGTAATTTTAGAAAAAAAAGCATAATTTATATTTATTTCCTAATTTGTTATGGTGGTTTCGAGATCAGTCAAATTGATCAAACCCATACAGAGATTTGTTAGTGAAAATAATAGATAATATACAAATTATTTCTTAAGAAACATTTGATAACTATCTGGACATTATAAAGATTTCACATGTGAAATTTGAAAATTTTCTGATGCATAAAAGTATTTTTAATCTTAAAATCACTTTGTATGATAGATAGGCAACATGCAAAAAGAAAAAAAGACATGAGAAAAACATTACTTTACAAACCTTAAGACTTAATAAAAAAAATTGATATTTTGCATATGAAAGCCTTAGAACCTTTACTGATAATCTGCCAAATTTTGTGAACATACGCTTACTAATTTAAAAGTTATAGCATGAAAACTATAACAAGCACAACTTGGATACAAGGTCTGTTCCAGGGACCGAGCTCGTGCTGAAAGAGTTAACCATCAGTTGTTTTAACTGGGAACATTGAATTACTTAGATAAATTTAACAGCATAGAATCATATTTTACTAATATTTTAACTATGGTAAATTCTTTAGCACACTTTGTTATACATTCAATACGTTTATGACACTCTTCAAGTTTTTTTAACAATACTGTCTCCAACATAATTTGAATGTCACTAAAAACAGATACTAACTAGCAAAAAAAAAAAAAAAAAAAAAAACTAGAATGTGTGGTGAAGTTATAATTTACTTAAAAATAATACGGAAGACTAAAAGAACTTTGAAATTTTCTAAAACAGCGTACAGAAAGTTACTTAAACTTTTTGAAAACAATGATCAAGCTTGACTTACTAGCACTGAAGACTGTATTTTTACTCATTGATCATGCTTTGCCGTTTCTTCTTAACAATAGCCTTGCAGTAATGTTCTTATACTAGCAGGCTTCTTCAAAAACAATCATGTCAGATACTTATGGTAAGGTTATGGAGATCAGATATAAATCATTCACATGATTATTAACCATGACAATGAGTCATTTCATCATTATCTCCTGTACTTTTTCTATTAACAAGTTAATATTTTAGGTCTATGAATTCCAAGTGCACATTTAAGCAGACCAAAAGCACATAGGAGCCTACCTGGGGGACTCAACAAGCATATATTGGAATGGAAGTTCTGATTTCAGTTTCGTTAGCTATTCTGTGGTATATGAAAGTAGCCACTGAGTTCAAGATGTGACAGTAAACTTTTGTCTTGTAAAACTTTATGAAATTCAAATCTTGTTTGCTATTTTGATGATACCAGGAGATATGAACACCTTCAACACAATAGCTTGTTTAGATCAGAAGGTTCTCTTTTGTAAACATGCTTTCATTTGGTGAATAAGATTGGCTTGGAGGACATTAATGCCCATGCAAAATGTTGTACTGAAATGGATAAAACTGAAGAAAGACTTCTACCTTAGAAATGTTTGTCTTATGGCCACAGGTTAATCTTGCTATATATTTCTCTAAAAAAAAAAGCAGCCACACACTTCTTTTATCTGTGAAACAAGTTCTAGAGATATTTTTCTAAGTCTGGTTAAGCTTTTATCTTTATATGGGAGATAGATGCCTATCTATAACATGACTATAAGAAGCTAATTTATGTGCATTTCCATAATCTGTAATTGACCCTCTGTATTTTTATAAACACAAACACATATAATCAATATCTTGATCTATTTGTGAATTGTGTTTAAATGACATACTATAATAGTGGGAAAAAAATCAAGCTAGCCTTTATTTACATCATTACTATTTACTTCAGGAAAATAATTAAATTTCCTTCCATACCCTTCAATTCTTCAAAGAGCATGTTCCGGTGAATCACAGAACCCAATGCCACGAGAGTTTCAATAACACGTACAGTATCATGAGCAAAAATCAGCTGAGAAAAAAAAAATCACAATTATCTGATTATATACCCTATAAACTGATTTATTCAAAAGCTTTTCTTATGCTTTATAATACATTTCATTATTTTTCCTTCACAAGTTTGTCAACTGGGTGATGACTGCATTAAATTTATAAAAGAAAATAATCCTCAACATTGTTAAAAGCTCATCTTATCTTTCCAAAATGGCATAATATGATAGGGTGAAATTAATATAAAAACAAAATCAGTGCACACTTCATTCATATTCTTTAAAAACTCCAACATACATAATGTAAAGTTGACTTTATGACTTCTGCACTGACATTGTGAAATCCCAAGACATCGCAGTTCAAAAATTTGGCTGTATGGTGTTTAGTAGAAAGAAATATATCTATTCAAAGAGTATATTTTACATTAAACTTTTTAGATTGAATGAGTATATTCAACAACTACAGTTACCATAACTAGACACTAATGTTAGTTTATATTCTGGCCTTAACATTACAGAAACACTGAACATGACCCTCCCTGTTGCTTACTTCCCCGTAATTAGGTTAAAAAATGGTTCATATCCTACTTTAACTAATTTTATTAGGCTTACCTTTACAAGTTAACCAAGCAACAGCAATAGAGATTTTACAGTTTTATATTTTATTCTATTCCAATACATCAAAGTTCTTACCTCCCTGGTTCGACCTTTAACAAGATCAACTAGCTCCTTGAGAAGCTCATGCTTTCGTTCCACTTTACAGTCTTCTCTTTATTGAAAGAAAAGTAAATGGTGGTAAAAAAACCTTTCGTTTTATGTGTAGATAATAAGTAAAAGATATATTTACATGTCACTAAATATATTTTCTTATAAGTACCAAAACACTGCCAGTTAAACTATAAAATCTATATATTATTATACAAAATTACATTTTCACTTTACTATACAAATGATGATACATGCACCCATAACTGTTTGGCTAAATATAAATAACCTTCTTCACCACAAACAAGCCAAATTTAACATCTGGAATGTTTGCTAATAACTTAGCCAGAAAGAAATTTGCACCTTATCATTTATATGCAATGAAGTTGCAATCTAAAATTAAATTCACAGATTTTACAAATTATTTTCTAAGATACTACTTTTTGGTTAAAGTAATAAAAAACAGTAAATTTTTCTAAAGAATAAAAAAATACTTTTTTCACTCAAAAAAACCTTAATATCTTTTGTAAGTTTTCTAAGATACATACAACATAGTATCTAACGAATGCCAGTAAATATGTAAAAATAAATGACTTTCATTTGTCAAAAAATTATCAGTAATTAACCCTTTTGAGACGAGTCACTGGTGTAAGGCCATGTCTTCTCATTTGTTGACTCGTATTCAAAATTTTATTGAACTACTATTTTATGAATTTATGTCAATAATTTTAATATCAAACTATAGATTATAACTCAAATTCTAGTACTATACATTACTCAATTTCTTAATTTAAAAGTAAATATAAAAAACACCTAAACATCGATTTTGTATGTCACTTGGTACGTTGAATGCAGCACTAGTTCTAATCAGATCTTTGTGAAGTTTCATACCAATTAGAAATTCAAATTATTGATATTGACAAGCTAGAATATAAAAGCCTCTTATCATTTCAATTTACTAAGATATTGGTCATGTAATATGTCAAACACAGTGGCATCCCGCCCACCTCTTTCAATTTTTGGAAATGCTCCCTTACATATACTTACTTCTATATATGACATGAATAACCAATAGGAAGCTCAAAATGTCCCCTTAGTGGCTTTCTCAGCCATTTTAAAAGGCTTGGCACCATTTCTTTCTTTTGAACTAATATTTCAATGAGGTAGGTTGTGTCTTTAGTCTGTTCTAAATTTTATATATTTTTATACTAAAATACATTTTAGTTACTAAGCTTGATAAATTATAGTGGAGTTCTATGGTATTGATGTGGTAACTTATGATTTTTTACTTATTCAAATGTTTATATATAACTAAAAACAATGACTGTTAAATATCCTCCATGTGCAAAATTCTTAAAGGCTTAGCAACCTACATCAAGCAGCAAGTAAATACAAAGGTCGTAACTAGAAGAGATAATTGTTTGCTTAAATTCTTTATTTACTGTTTAAAAAAAATATATTTAAGAACTTATTTCAAAATAGCAATAATCTATATACAAATATAATGTACAGTAATTGAAATGTGACTAAATTTTACAAAATACTAGTCTACAGCCAAGACAAGTTACTTTGTACAGACCAAATGTCAGTTTTATGTTATTTGATATGGTAACATGAGTGCACGTGAGCCACATCTTTGTAACTTCTATGTTGTTAGCCAGACACAGCTGAAAGGTCAGTATAATAAAGTAATAAATATATATAAATGTATAATGTTATGAGATTGAAGCTATTTAACCTATACACTTATGTTTTCGTGTTATAATTTGTGTTAATTCTAGAATGAAAGAGGCATAATTTATATTAATTTCCTAATTTTTTTATGGTGGTTGTGAGATCGGTCAAATCTACCAAACCTGTTCACAGATTAATTACTGAAAATAACATAAACATTCTTAAGAAACATTTGATAAATATCTGGATATTATAAAGATTTCGTATGTGAAATTTTAAAATTTTCTGATGCATAAAAGTATTTATAATCTTAACATGAATATTACTTTGCATGATAGACAGGAAACGTGTGAAAAAGACATGAGAAAAACATTGCTTTACAATCTTAAGACTTAATAAAAACATTTGATATTTTGCAAATGAAAGTATTATAGTGTTTACTGATAACCTACCAAATTTCTTTAACATTCGCTTACTAATTTAAAAGTTATAGCATGGTAACTATAGCAAAGACAAAATAGTTATGAGGTCGGTCCCAGGGACCGAGCCCGTGCTGAAAGAATTAAAAAAATAGCATTTTAATCAATAATATGTGCACACCATATAAACAAAATACATAAATGTGATGAGGTGCTTAGACATATTCCATCTGAAACAAGACAAATAATCTGTGTTACCTCCTTAATTCCTCCCAAATATATTTTGTTCTCATGCCAATATCATATATATCTGTTCTGGCATCATGCTTTTGTCGAAGTCTTTTCCTGTCTTTTTTCTTCATTAATAGTATTTTCATCTTCTTATCTTTTGGCTCTGAAGAGTAATCATTTCCAGATAATTTACGTTTGTTTCCTCTTGTATCAGGTGCTTCCTTTGCATCACCACCCAATTTACCAGATGACTGTACATGGTTTTTCTCTGGAGAATTCTGAAAGCTCCTTTCCCTCTCATCCTTCATTTGTTTCTGAAAAACAATTTTAATGTCATCATCAACCTGACTACATAACACAGTTTTATATAATCTAAGCCTCCAGGTTTCCAAAACTTGCAAGGTGTGAGTTAAGTTTATCTTTTGTGACATATTTTAATCTCCAATACTTTTTTGATGAAAAAAGACACTTCAATTATTCTTAAGTAAATTTCTACCTTTCAATAAAACAATAACAATAAAAAAAACATACTCTTTTAATTTAAATGTTTTGACATTCATTAACCTGTATTTCATTTTGAAAAAAGGTTAAGTATAAGTACTTAATACATTAATAATAAATTCCAGCAATATAATACCTGTAATTGTCCTTTTTTCATCTTGTAATTTTGACTCGTTTTCTTACCCCCAGATTCAGATGGATCCTCATTGTTCACACGTTGTTTAAGAGCATTTCTTTTCTTAAAATCAATTCTATTTGTTACTGTTTTTTTCCCAACTGATCTAGTTTCATTAAAATTGCTATTTTTCTTATTTTTGTTAGATATTGATGAGTTTCTCTCTTCTTTTTTACCCAAGTTTTTTGCAGATGATTTTGAACTAAGATAATTTTGATTTGGTTTAAACTGCTTTGAAAACCTTTTATGAGGTTTCACTTTCTTAACTGATGCAGTCCCTCTTCCAGAATGCTTTTCAGCTTGGCTATCACTCAATTCATTAACTATACCCATTTTGTTTTGTTCAGCTATTGCAGATTATAATGATTTCAGTATTCTTTGTTTAGAGATCTGACAAAAATGGCAACCTGTAAAGAGAAAAAAATAATTATATGTAATTTAAAACATAGAACAAAAAGAATTACCTAAGTCTCTATATTTAAAGTGAAAAAACAAACACATTTATCAAATAGTTAATAAAATACATCTTATGCAGTAGCATTTCTATTTTTTTTGTACCAAGTTGATGGTTATATCAGCAAGACAACCTAAACAGGCTCACCTTCTGCTTGGAAAAATGTCTTAATGACCTAAAACATGGGTGGCCAAACCCCGGCTCGTGATGTCTTTTTCTGCGGCCCGCCTAACATTTATAAAATTTGAAGTGCTGATCGAAGTGTCAAATGAAAGGTCCCTTCATTCTCTATTCACTGATGTAAAAATTATTATCCAGACGTCTTTTCCACCAGAGATAACTCGATTGACAAAAAATGATGAAATTTTTGTTTTTGGTCTCTAGAGAACACCTAATGGTGCAATATCAAAAGTAAAGTACATCATATAAAAGCCAAAAAAGTTTTCTATCTATTGATATAAGATTCTTTGTGACCACAGCCAAGTTGAATGCGGCTCGGGTCAACTCCGATAATCAAAATCTGGCCCGTGGCATAAAAAAGGTTGGCTACCCCTGACCTAGAAGGATTAATAGTTAGGCCTCACTAATGATTTGAATACAGAGATAATTACTTTTTTTGCCTTGTATCCTATTTGTCTATAAATACACCATAAAATTCTATTTGCTTTACTACTAACAACATTGCTTTCAGTGGCTTAAGTGACTTATATACCACTATGCAGAGATCCTTTTTTTAAATCATGCTATGGAGTGGCTTCCTATCTATATTAAATGTGTGATCCAAATTTATTACCTTGCTGTTACTATAATTAAAGGTTATTTGACAAACATTTGTCTGACTTCTGCAATACTACAGTCAGAAATACCCACAAGCTTAATGTCATCAGCAAACTTAACTAATTTACTAATTATACCTCTATCGTGTAATTAATAAAAAACAAAAAACAATGCACTGACCCCTGAGGTCCACTACTAACAAGAATCAAGTCTGAATGAACTCTTAATAACAACTTTCTACTTTCTCATGTCAAACTGCCTAACAATTCAATTAATTAGTTTTACCAAACCTCTACAGAGGTGATCTTCTTGGTTATAACTTTTACATAACACCTTATAAAAAATATTTTGAAAATTTAGGTATACTCCTATCATCCGGACAATGAGTATCATCCTAAAAAAAAAAAAAAAATTATCAAAGCAAGATTTCCCTTTGGTGAATTAATGTTGGATTTCATTTTTATTTCATCCAATGATTTTGTACAGCTTCTTTTCTCACTCTCTAGAGAAGCAAGATTAATGAGCCAAAAATGCAGGACAACCCTTATCACCTCCTCTTAAACTGAATAACAAAAGCAACTCTTCAATCCTGCAAGAAATCTACTGTTTTGAAAGTTTTTCATTTCATATTTTAGGTTTCCTCTAAAAATGTAAGAAAAATCTTGTCTAGCACTGATGCTTTATCTATTTCTGATCTATCAATTTTTCTATTTACTACAAAGGGACTAAACTCTGCACAATCCAGGTCAATTCCAATATTTTCCATGGAATGCTCAGGAATATTGCTAATATCTTCTCTTGTGAAAACAAATGAAAAACATTTAAAAGCTCATCCATATCATAATCTTCAGCCAAAACCTTGCCATCAGCATCTTTCAAGGACCTAGTCACTATTTTAAGATGTTGCTTACCTTTAACATACGTTAAAAAAACCTTGATAGTTTAACATTATCAGCTAGCTGTTTTCATATTCTATTGTTGATTTTCTAATGTATTTATTTTTCAACCAAATCCATAACTTCCTATAGTTCTATAAATCTTCCAACCTGTCTATCAATTTAAACTTCAATTTCTAGGATTGATCTTTGATTTTTTCTTTGTATAAATGCTGACGGTCAGAATGACCAATTATTAATTACTTTACCACTCACCGCACAAAATAAATTGATCAATGCTTGATAGCTGTTTACTCTTAAATGTTAATCAACTGATAAACATACATGGATGGTAAAAAAACATAGTATGTGGAAAAAATCTTTTAAGGTAGCAACACTATTTTCAATTAAACATTTGTTTATGGATGTGGTCAAATTAACCAACCATGTATCTGTGAAGCTATACACAATGATGTCTATTATGATTTTTAATTTACTGTGTGTCTTTACAAAAAACCTTGCAAGCTTTTAGTGAAACAAGTCTGTTTCATAAAACAAAAGTTAGATTTTTTAATAAAGATTTATCTGCAACTTTTCAAAGCCTTTACTGAGTCGATCTGAGTGAAAGTTTTTTATGCTAATAACACAAATACCTTGTTTCATATTTCATTCACATAACCCCTAGAACCTTGTAACTGAACACCAGGTGTTTTTTGGCATCTGTTTCCTTTTAGTTTTATTGCTGTACTTTGTACTCACTACAGTAGTAATCCTTCTGTCAAAAGCAATAAATCACAGTAGGAACCTATTAGCTTCTTCCCATGAAGTTACCATAAACATGCAATTGTTTCACCATGTAATGCTTCACAGAGCCCTTGTGTTTGTCAAACTTTAGACATTTTACTGAAGTTTTGTAAGGTTAAGCTTAGAAGTTTATAATTTTAACACTTTATTTACTTTTGTTAAAAAGTATATAATAATAAATAAAATATATGCATAAAAACAAAGATTTGTAGTACCTCATGGCATGCTCGAATCTTTTGCATTTGAGTAAAATATTTTGACATTCTTCTGTAAGCCATGTCTGAGACTCACAAATTTGGATGTCCAAGAACAAATTAATGTATCTTTCAAATATACATTTTAGAACACAATAAAATACATTACTTACTAAAATAGAATGTCTCAAAACCACTATAATTTATATACAATTATATATATATATATAATTCATATTTTAATCAAGCTATAAATATGTTTCAAAAAATTCTTTAACATTATAAACACCAAAATATAATCACCATATAATAAAAACAATTGTTGATTAATGATTTACATAGTAAAAACTATAAAGTTGATTAGCAAACTATATTGAAATTCAGAGAGGGGCTTCTATGATTGGCTTGAAAAATGTATTCATATCTCAGCAACTCAAAAAGTAGGAGGTTCACATTTTTGATTTTTGCTTGTAATAATTTGAAACTGCAAAAGCCTATTTCTGATGTTAGAAAATTCTGAAGCAGAGAAATAAGGGCTCATACACATCACATGACTTATAAGAATGAAGACTGATAATCTTCTAAATATTTCATTTTGAAATTCAGACTGACTTAACATGTATGCACTAAGATAGCTGCCCTTCACAGATGTTTTGCAGCCAGTCAGAATGACCAGAGGCTTCCGTTTCTGCTGGTCAACTAGCTTTTAAAACAGTTTCTGGCCAGTATTTACTGGTTACAAGAAAAATTGAATTAGGAATATGCCCATCTTCAATATGAAGAAATCATATTCAAAAATTTACCAAATCTGTCACACATCAACTTCTGTGTAACTCACTGTTCCAATTCACTAATATTAAATCTTGGCCCATGGCCTTAAATGTGGCTTTGAAAAAGGTAGGAACTAAAATTTCATTTCTTTTTATTTCAACACTATGTTTATCAATCATTATGTACAGATCACTCTACTCAAAATGTTCTCCTGCTTCAACTCTTGCAACCCTATCATCAGTAGTGGTTAACAATAAATCTTGAATGGTAGTTCTACTGATTGACTCTCCAACTATTTAGTATAGAAAAACATACTGAAGCACTTCAAGAAATATTTATCCTTCAGTACTTGACTTCATACAATCAAAATTAATGTTTCTAAAATTAAAGTCAAAACTTTTCATAATTACTGTATTAGTATTTTTAGTAACAACCATCCCCTCATTATACAACTTCTCATCAATATAATCTGACATGTGGCCTATAAAAATTGCATGTTACAAATTTTCTATTCTGAAAACCTATGATTGTAATCCATATATACAGAATCAACCTCTTGACTACCATTTTTTAGGCCTTCATTCACAACAGGATGTAGTTCCTCACTTATGGAAAGAATCATCCCCACACAATCATCTTTTTTAAAAATCTGTCACTATTAAATAACTTATATTCTGAAATTTCAAAATAATTTATCTTATTAATGATCTCAAAATCTAACCAGGTCTCAGTAATGTCCTTATATCAGTCTTTATTTTAATTAGAGCACTGAATTCATCCATTTTGTTCCTACTACTCTTGAACGCTAGAATAATGGTAAGTTTGCTATTATTAAACTACAAATAGTAAATTAATCTACTAATACTATGTTTACTTTTAAAACTATTATTGTAACACTGTTCTTTCAGTGGGTGGGTTCTTTTAAATTATTTAGTGAAAATAAACCACATAACAATAACAAATTAGTTTATTTCTTCCTTAATATTTCTACACCATTGTAATTTTTATGTACAAGTTTACAAATGATGTTCAAATGGAAATACCTTACTAATTACCCTATGAATAATGTAAAATTAACTTATTACAATTTCACAGCTAAGTGATCATCTAAATGAATATATACAATAACTAAAATTGATCCAAAATATTTAAATAACACTAACTACTTCATTGAACTAAGCTGACTGACCTGCACTCTACAGTACAGACTGAAAACAATCACCTCAATGCTTCACTCATTCTGATAAGCTTTTTATTTTAAATTTTAATTGACTGGTTCACACATACTTGATGTCTCACTAGTAGATATTCAATAAAGTTATTAGAATTTTATCACATTATATAGAATATTTAAGGCTTCCTTTTACAAACTTAAAAGATCTTAAGTCATGTGTCAGTTTAAATTAAAATGCAAAATACAGCTTATAAAACTATAAATTATATAATGAAAACTACTTCTTGTATAAAACATGTTTCATTCGCCTTTCTTCTGTTAAAACACGTAATGTGGTATATTATCTTCATAAAATAATTTTCATTAGGCTAATATTTTTAAATAGTTCTTTGTTAATCTACTATTGTATTACTTGTAATATTTCTATTAAGTATTATTAGCATAAATTCCTAGTATCATGTGCTTCCAAGTTCCATGCACAAATGGTGAAATAGTACTAGTACTATTAGTATCTAGCCTGCTTACCAATACCATGAAAACTATCCCACAGATCCAACTCTCAACACATCTCCG